AGCTAGGAAAATCAATGCACCCCGATATGAAAATGACTTTCACTGAATAAAAATTAGGAATGTAATTTTCTTGTTTACTCACTAATGTTACCCTCTCATACACATTAATGCTCTGAAGGCATGAACTCCACCCACCAGCATCTAACCTGAAATGTTTACCTTTGACTACCTATTTAACTTGTGAGAACTGTTATTATTAAATGTTGCAGTTTGTGAATAACTTTGTTTGAAAAACAGTTATAATTAAAAATAATAACATTAATAAATACATGTCAGTTCTTTCTGAGCCCCAGGGCAATTGTGGTTACCATGGTTTATCCTTAAAATATAGAATTTATTTTTGTAACTTTACGACTTTATTCTCAAAATATTATTATTTTTTTCTCAAAATATTATGATTTTAATTTAAAAATACCACTTTATTCTCAAAATATTACGATTTCATTCTAAAAAATATGACTTTATTCTCGAAATACTATGATTTTATTTTAAAAATACCACTTTATGCTCAAAATATTATGATTTTATTCTCGAAATATTATGATTTTACTTTAAAAATACCACTTTATTCTCAAAATATAACGATTTCACTGTAAAAAATGACTTTATTCTAGAAATATTACAAATTAATTCTATTATTTTTATTTTTTTAAGTGGCAATAAGGAAGGCTATGCGTATAACTGTAGCCTGTGGGTGTGGCTCCATTTAGACTAAAGTATTCATCGGGTCTAATCCACGTTTCTGTGAGGCACAGAGCATCAAAATCATGATCAGTAATAATTTCATTTACAACGACGGCTTTAGATGTAAGAGATCTTATGTTAAGCAGTCCTAGTTTTAGATCAAAGGTGCTGTCACTGCAAACTGGTATAACTGGTCTGATATTATCAAGTTACTGAAGCAAACATTTTGAGGATTTTTGATGCTTTGTTTTATTCGGGCCTTCTGCCCAATGACAGCTGGGATGGATGGATGTTTTATCCGGGGAACAGACACAGTCTCTATCGGGAGGAACCTACGTGGCGTCTCAAGGCAGATCGCAGAGGGTCGGTTTAGCCTGTTTGTCTGCTGCCTGGCCTCGGCCCAGGAATAAAAAGGAGAGGTGAATGGAGCACAAAAGAAGAGAAGAAGAGAGAAAAGGAGAGAGGAAAAAAGAACGAAAGAATCAGTCTGTTTTCTTACCCACCGTGGCCGTGGAGCACATGACCGCAGCCTTTCCAGCAGAGTCAGTGAACAGCATTGAAGACTGAGCTTTTCAGAGTCCAAACCAGAGACAATAACATCTTCACTGTTTATTAGTTTTCAACATGGCATTGAGAACTGAAGTCAGACCTCTTTGTAACTTTAACACCTTCTAAATGTTTTCATTTAGCAAGATTAACTCTTGAGACTTGAGCACTGACTGCAAATCTGGGGCCAAATCTTTAGAAAATTTTCCAAAAAAGATCAAATGTTATTTAAAACGTTCTTAAAGTCTGTTTCTATTTTGAGAGTCAATTTATGGATGTTTGCTTACTGGGGTAATTAGCCAATTTCTGTTCCCCTCTGCTGTTGCTAAGGTGTTTGGTGGTTGCTACAGGATTGCTTTGTCGTTACCATGTGGTTGTTATGGTGTTCCACACGGTTGCTAGGTTACAGCTAGGTGGTTGCCATGGTATCCTAGGGTGCTGCTAGGTGGTTGCTCTGGTGTCCCAGGCAGCTGTTAGGGTGTTGCTAGTGTACTTGTGTCATGGTAACAAAAGAGATGTTTGTTTACTGGGGTATGTAGCCAATTTTTGAATGCCTCTGCTGATTCCCACAAGGGTTAGATCTCAAGCTGGCCACCAAGCATTAAGAGCTACATGCCGTACACATGCACCAGATAGATAGAGGAGAAAGACGCTTCCTAGTCCAGCTTCTTTCTCGCCAGCATCACATTGGTGTCAGAAGTGGGATTGGCAGAGAAAGCTACTACTAGAGCCATGTCAAAACTTGTACAACAAATTTCTTAGGCACCGGGCAGTGTAATCATTAACTTTCTGAACAATTCTGTTCTCTAGAGTGGAACGCTTCACATCAAACTGCTCTGAATGGCTTATATCATTTCATTTAGAAGGAATGGTTTGAGGCAAGTCTAAGGCAAATAATCAACAGCATCTATTCTAAAAGCTCTCAAGAGAAAAAGAAATAAATGAGGAACAGTTTATGTTATTGTAATGAGGTTTCTTCAGTTTTAGCACTGAAGCTACAAGGTAAATGTAGCTAATAAGCAATTAAAGCTGAACAATTAGCATCATGCCTAAACTTCACACACTTGCCTGAAAACGTGTTGAGACGTTCTGTATTTCTTATTGGAAGTTGATTATGTGGTTTCTGACACTGATTGACTCACTGTTATCTATAAACATGGACTGAAGTACAAAGAAAATTCAGGCTTCTAATGGTTTTTAGCTATTCGTTGTACTTTTTTAGGAATAAAAATGGACAAAATGTACCAAGAATAGCTAAAAATGTTTTAAATTCTCACTTCAATACCTGAATAAAATCCCTCAATTTAAAAACAGATTTTTAAGAACTGCATGAACTTCTCACTGTTTGTCTTCCTTCCTAAGTTTTTGTTGGTAAAGCTGTGGTGAATGCAGCCGCTGCTCTGTACTGGGCTGGCGCTAACGGCACACGTCTGGCCAGATCGGTCAGAGAAAAGGCCCCTCATTAACATTCAGCTCCACTCACTTCCTATCAAACGCACTATTGTCGTCCGCACTGATGCCTGTCAACAAAATGCCTGAGCGTGGCCTGGAGAACAGAGGCTGCAGAGAAAGATGAAAAGGAGGAGAGGAGAATGAGGGATGAGGGTAAAAGAGGGAGAGATGGATAAAGGAGTGTAACGAGACAAAATGAGACATAAGCACACCCGCGAAGAGTGGAAGAAAGTCTGCTTTCAGAAGCGGTGCTGGACCACAGGGGTCAACTGAGGCCACAATCGTTCTGAAAACAGGGAGTAAAGCAAATACTGACACACATGAGTGTATTTATACAGTGTATACATACAATATATCTATATATATATAAACAATATGGAACTTTAGAATTTTAGAATTTAGAACTTTAGAATTTTCTGTATTTCTGCGTAAATTTGACCTAAATCCTCATCAGATTTTCAGTGTTAACAGTAGATAAAGAGAACAACACTAAACAAATGAGACATGGAGACAAGAAAAATATTAGACATGGTCATTTATTTATTGTGGAAAATGTATATATGTCTATATATCTAGACATAATGATATGCAACATACGTGTAACATATATCGTATTTTTCATTTTTGGACATAGTTTGAAATGGCCAGTTTCCCTTTATGATGTATCAAAATTTCATGATGATTGGACCAACAGAAATGGTCCAAAATGACGAAAAAAATTATTTCTATATTTACTTCTATTAAAAGTTAAGCCTGTTTTTTCTCGTCCTGTAAAATTGCCTTTTTAGAGATACGATGTATCTCTAAATAAAGCACTGTACGAAAGTCTTAGAGACCTAAACACATTGTTTAAAAGCATTTATCTTGGCAGTCAGTGTGTTTTTCACAAGAAAATCATGTATCATTAGAATTCATGCAAATTAACATAAATACCATAAAAATCTATTATAATTTCTAATTTTAAAGGTAGTAGTTGAGATCGTGTGAGCTGGTTTGAGGAACAAAGTTCAGTTCCAGGTTCCTCCTGGACACCTCCGGACATCACATAGAATTATTAAATGCAATCAGCAGCTCCAGATTTAACATAATGAAGTATTGATTAGATAAAGCAGATATTGGTAATAGCAAATAATACTGGACTTCCTTGAGAAGAGGTTGGCAAAGAGTTAAACTTACTCATTTACATACATAAAATTACGATCTATTATGTTGATCATATTTGTATTTATTGTAATATTGGTGTTTTTCTGAATAAAAAACACTGACCAGATAACAGCTTTTTTTAATTCAAATTTTCTCTGGTGGCTAAAACTTGCACACAGTACTGTGCATGTAAGTATATATATATGTAGTAATAATATGTCGCTTATGTTATTATATTATACATATTATATACATAGTATATAAATATTTATTATATGTAATAATAATAAGTGCTGTAAGTTTAATATTAGTATATTAGTATACCAAAATATATAAAATTAGTAAAACATTGTAACTTTACAGGAGAAGCAAAAACTTACTTTACTTTTAATGTAAGTCAATGGAACCAGACGTTTTTCCAAGTAGTTTTGGTTCATTCATCATGAAATTTACACACAATGTAAAGAGCAACAGACATTTTCAAATTATGTCAAAAACTGAAAATACAAAAATGCATGTTTTGTTCTGACAGCAGCGATATGTAAAATTATATATGTGTAATTATGCATATGTAATACGTTTGTAGTGGTAAGTTTGTGGAACATTTTTACTTGACTCCCACACAGACACACACACACACACACACACACACACACACACACACTACAATAGACCCTGTATTTGGTCTGGTTCATTTCATGGACTATGATGTTTTGTTTTCGTTTCTTTTATTATTTGTCATTTGTTTATATTTGTTGTTGTCATTCCAGCAGCTCGAGGGTAAACAATGCCACTGGTTTCCATATTAAAATCTGCACAATCTTATTCCATTATAACTTGATGTTGCTCACCTCAACAGAACTGACTCACCATTTCTGGACACCATGAGGTTTCTGTGTGTGTATGTGTATTTATAACTTTGTAGGGACTGAAGTCCCCAGTTTGTGAAAGTGTGAACACTGTGATTTCCTCTGCTCTCCACGAGGAAAAATACTTTCCCCCCCAAAATACTGCAGCTTTAGAAAAAAGAAAAGTTGCCAACGTTGATCTTTTGTTGTGTGTGTGTGTCTGTGTGTGTGGTGGACTGAGAAATGGTCAGCTCTCATTGGTCTGCCTGCTAGATTGGCAGTTTAAGTTTGTGTGCTACTGCAGGGCCTTTCAGAGTGAAGCTATAAAGCCTCTGAGCGTCTCTCTCTCTCTCGCTCTCTCTAACACAAATCACTCCATTCTTTCGCTCTACGGCCCGGTAAGTTCTCCTTTAACCTCTTTTTCTCCTCTCGTAGACGATGTAGTTCACTAAAAATAAGGAGTGGAGGAAGCTTTGATTCTGTATTCTGTAATTCTTAATTTCGGATTTTTATGTGTTTTCTAAAGCTTTTATAAAAATAATAAACTGTAAAAAAATATTACAGGGCCTTATTTTGAATTGCTTTATTTTAATAATTTGACCTAAATAAGTACATTTTCAGGCCAAATGATAACATTTCTACAGTGTATGAATGAGGTACACAAGTTTTTGTAAGTTGTAACAAACTATAATGATACAAAACATCGGGGTTTTAATGTAAAATGTAAAAGGCTCATCTTGTAAATGTGTCTTATTAACGTTTATGTGGTAGATTAATCATCATTTTATGCCTCTGTTGATGTCAATCTCAAAACTCTCCTGCTGAATGTGTCTCTCTCTGATCTGCAGTCAGTGAAAGCATTGCTGTGAAATCATGACGGACTTGGAGAACTGCCTGGCCACCATCATTGAAGTGTTTCATAAGTACTCAGAGAAAGAGGGAGACAAACACAAGCTGAAGAAAAGCGAGCTGAAAGAGCTGCTGACCCACGAGCTGCCCTCGCTGACCGAGGTGGGTGTGTCCGGCCAGATCTCCAACTCTCTGCACACTGATCTCACTGTTCTTTAGAAGTTTAGGAGGTTTTAATCAAAGCTCACAGAAAAAAAAACAAACTGTTGGACCGGATAAGAGAAAGAATCTGATGTCAACTGGGTGTTTTAAAAATTAAATTAATAAAAATATTTTTAACAAGAAAAAATGAAAACATTTTGAAAATGAGAAAAAGTTTTTGACTGTAAAATTTTGAATCATTTAGGATTTTTTTATATTTGGATTTTGAAAATTTAAATTGTTTGGCGTTCTTTTCAGATTTGTAAATTAATTATCTCAATGTAAAGTCTGAATTTTAATTTTGAATTGAAAATTTAATTGAATAAAAGAATGTCGAGGAATCTGATGGATTTTTAAAATTGTTAAATCAAAAATGTAAAATTAAAATGTATTGATGTTTTATTTTAAATTAATTCTATTTTTTGGATTTCATTTTACTTGTGATTTTTAAAAGTGATTTTTGTTTGACATTTTGTAAATAAATTATTAAACTGTTAAGGCAAATTAAATTTTAGCAAATAAGCAGATATTGAAAGATCTGATATCAATATTGTTTTCATTTAAAAAAGAGGAATTCATTAGAACTTTGAAAGATATTCATTTTTAAATTCTGATTTAATAATGATTTTGTGCACTTTATTACATTCTGATTTTTCAGAATTGATTTTGTTTGACATTTTAAAATTTGAACTAATTAGCAATTGTAGATTTTAAAATGTAACCTTATTCTATTCTGTAAACATTTACTTAGTTTATTTTTATGTTTAAATTTGTATTATGTTCTTAAGGATAGTGATATTTGAACATTTAAACATTGTCGTATTCAAGCTATTGACCAAACTTTCTGACTCTTTCTTCTCCATCATTACATCTATAATCTGCCCCCCAGCATGTGAAGGACCAGGCCACCATGGACAGTCTCATGGAGAGTTTGGATGCCGACGGCGACTCTGAATGTGACTTCCAGGAGTTCATGACCTTTGTAACCATGGTTACCATCTGTTGCCATGAGTTCTTCGAACATCACGAGGATGAATGAGTCAGATTTCAGAAATAGCAACTGTAGAATTTAAGCAATTTGAAGTAGCTTAACTATGTAGAACTTCGTAACTCATTTTTATTATTTTTTTTGCCTTTTGATCGTTTTCCACTGTCTGGATGTTTGTTTGGCTCAGTGTGGTAAGACGTGGTTGTAAATGGTTTCTGGTTGAAAAAGAAGCTTCAGTGTGGCTTAAATTTGCATGGAAGGGAAATTGAAAACCTTATAATTTATTTCAAATATTTGAATTCCTTATGTTTAATTTAGGCCAAAAGATGTCTAACAGTAGTTGCTAACGGTTGCTTTTAAAAAGACAACAATTCTAATGTAGTCATGTATAGAATGGACTATGTATACTTGGAATATCAGTAATATTCTTTGTTTCACTATGAAATATTGAAAAAACTTCACATTTAGGACTATTTAAGTGCTTAAATGTTTTGGGGACGGAAGAGAAAAACTCAAAAGCCGTAGACAAATCACAGATTTACCTGATAAACCAAAGTCATTTAAAAATAGAATTATTTCATTTATACTGTTTAATTAATTCCCTTTTGTTATGATGCACATTGGATAAAGAAAAGCACAAGGAGAGAAAAACACAAATGAAATGATGCAGCTGACAAAATCTTGGGCATAAAATGGTGAATTTCTCTTCTTATCAATGGAAACATAAACTAAGTTTTATCCCCAATAAAAGTAAACATGTTTCTTATATGTAAACAAAAATTCATCTAATTCTGTAAATTGGAACAGTAAAAAAAACATTTCTATTGTTGTGAATTTGCATTTGTGTGAATGAAACTGTCAGTTATTTAACCACCATGTTGACCAACAGCTGATTCAGTTCCCCAGTCTGGAACAGTTTCCTGCTCTTGTGATGAAGCTGAATAAATCACGAATGTTAGAAGATTTCCTCCTTTTTCTTGCCTTTGTTTGCTGAGAATTAATAAAATATTGAAATGTGGGGTGTGTTTCTCTTATTAGAAGATACAGACTGTGCTGGAGGGCTTGCAAGACAGAAGAAGAGATGAAAAATCTCAAATACTCATCAGAAAGAACATGTTGTACAATCTAACAATTTACTGTAATTTACAAATAACTGTTTTTTATTAATGTTGGGGTTCTTTCTGTGTAATGCTGTATGGTTTGTGGTAGAGTTTGACATCTACAACAGTCATCTTAGAGCTTTTTTCTCCCAATGTGGTAAGTTTCGGGAAATATCTCTGCCTGTATGGCTATACAGTGACTGTAAGTAAGTAAGTAAGTAAGTAAGTTTTATTTATGTAGCACATTTAAAACCAAAGTGCTTTTCAATAAAACACAAAAGGGATTTCCACCTTCAAATCACCACCACCACAGTGCTCAATCCAGAGTTTAACAGTTTAACAGCTGCTGAATGCTGATCGATAAAAGTGTGTTTTAAGCTTGGTTTTAAAAACAGTCACAGATGGAGCCTAATGTCACTTGGGTGTTTTACAAAAGGGGTTAAAGAACCCAAATTTTCTTTCAAGCTATTGGTCACTGTGGGGGGACCAAACAATATAACCTCTGTTTTACTATCATTCAGCTGAAGAAAGTTCTGGGTCATCCAATTTATAATATCAATGATACATTTGTTGAGTCTTCCTTAAAAGTAATGATTTTCAAGGTTCAAAGGTAAGTACAGTTGTAGGGGCAGCATATGCAGCGAAAAAAGGACAGGGCCTAAAATGGACCCTTGTGGAACCCCAGATGACATGGCCACAGATGTGTAGAGTATTTCCCAATGTTTATGGAAAAGACTCTATGTTTAATATAAAGAGATAAACCAATTAAGAGCCAAACTCTTGATCCAAACACAGTGTTCCAAATGCTCAGTGATCATGATCATGATCAACAGTGTCAAATGCAGCAAGACCAGGACAGAACAGTCACCACAATCAGCATTAAGTAAAAGATTGTTAGTCACTTTTAAAAGAGCAGACTCAGTACTGTGAAAGGCCCTAAAACCCGATTTAAAAGTCTTATAAATGTTGTTCTTGTCTAAAAAAAATCAAGTTCTGTCATCAGGAGATTGCGAGTTTGATCCCTGGTGACGCTACAGCTGTCAGTGGCCAGGAGTCCAAGAAGGCCCAGCTGGCCTCGCTCTCTTTGGGTGGGTAGGATGCCCCCCCATCTCCCCCATCACTCAACACGATGCTAGTCAGCCGACCTAACAGAACTGGCGGTTGGCGCTTTCCTCCGAGCCGTTCAGCTGTCCAATGATGCTGCATGAGTGGCAGCATCTAGTGGGTGGAATTGGAGATGACTAAATTGGGGAGAAAACTGGAAAAAAAGTGAAAACAACTTTTTCAAGAACTTTAGCTAAAAATGATAGTTGTGATATAGGCTGGTAGTTACTCAGAACCCCTACATCCAGATTACACTTCTTCAGGAAGGGCCGAACAACTGCATGCTTAAAACACGCAGGAACTGCACCACATGCTAAACTTGCATTTGTAATTGACAAAAACTTCAGGTCAGATTGTACCAAAAACATCCTGTCTGACTGTAACCATGGCAGCATAAACGATCCCATGATAACAGGCTTTTTGTAATTTCTTTTTTAAGCTTTTATTTTCTGGCAGTGGTCGAACTTTGAATCAATGTGCAACATTAGATTATGGAGGAAATTTGTTCGGAGTCACCACAGTAACTGAAGTTAGCTTCTTCTTCTTCGACAAGCTTATTCGAAATTTTCCGTTCCACCTTAAATAGTGGCATCTGTACAGGTGCCAGAATGTAACAGATGCATTATTTAAGATGGAACGGAAAATTCTAATTAGAAGCTGGCAACGTGAAGCAAACTTCAGTGGTGGTAGTAAGTGTTTTTGTGAAAAATGCAATGACTAGGTGGCAATGATGGACAACAAACGTTGACACACTCCAAAAGCAGAGCTGTGCATAAACACTGTGACGACAGCAGAGCTCATCAGGAAAGCTTTGGCATGACACCAATGTAAAATGGCATTAATCTTCATCAGAATGCAATAAACCCAGACTCTCAAAGTGAGTCGTGTTGATATTACATTGTTTTGACTACACTGATTGGAGTTTCAAAGCCCTTTTTATGAAATTATGGACGCACATCAGCATATTACACACTATTAATTTTGAGACAAAAGGGGCAGGGGATCGATGAGCTACAGTCTCTAACTGTACACCAGCAGAGTAGAGCTCCAAGGGAGGGGTTTCCGATAAAGTGGCCGGGGAGAGTAAAGCTTCTGATGCATTGACTCAGCCTCACTGGCACAAAGACGGTGTGCATGCTCACTTTAAACGACTCGCGCTATTTAGCCTTAGCCTTTCTGCTACTCTCTGATTTACTCCTCCGGTGGAGACGCCATTATCAGGCTCGTTCTCCGCGGGGAGGCCGTGCATTGATTAAATCAGATTGATTGCGATGCACGCAGGCCCTGCAGGCTTGCTGGAGATGTTTCTACACACTATCTGTCTGGAAGAGCAGCGAGAGTTTGTCTCTCTCATCCGTCATACAGACACTTTGGCTCCCCCAGGCCTGGGTTGCCAGATTGGGTGAACAGTTTACAGCCAAAATTATTCCAAACTTGACTGACTGCATTAAAAACTACCCAAAATATGGTATAGGAGATCTCTAAAGCCAGCATTTCAGACAAATTACTACAGCGTGGCGTTTACTACTGACATGACTGCAATGAGACCTCTGAGGTTGCTGCTTTGTGTGTGTGAAAAATGAATTATATTTTCAAAATCACCCCTTTTATGAACTGTGGTTCACCAAAATAATAAAAAAAAATGGCAAACCAGCCCCGATTTTGTCCAAAGCAATTGTTCCCCACTTAAAAGTACATTTACTGGAACATGCCAACATGCCAATCTGGCAGCCCTGGTAATCTGCCTGCTCGCTAATTGCTGGCTAGTTGAAGTTAAAAACAAATAAACACAACAATTTATGTTGTATTTTCAATTTAATTCCACTTTTTATGGACATTTGTTTGGAAAGCAGCCCAACTGTAGAACCATAAAAGCCTACTTCATTCAGATTTTGTGCAAAGTCCTCCTGAAAGCAGCCCAACCAAAAGTTGTCAATACACACAAAATATAAATACATCATATCAGAACTATTTTCAATGTTCTTTATTTTATATGTACAGTCAGTTGGAAAACCAGTCTGGAAACCAGGTACCTGCTCACTGAGTGTAGTACCAAGAGTTCTGGCTAGGTGGCACTGCTGCTTCACTCTGCTGAAGGGGAAAATCCTGAGCTGCCAGCTGTTTACGAGAGAGAGAGAGAGAGAGAGAGAGAGAGAGAGAGAGAGATTTATCAGAGGCAGAGAGATGAGAAATGTGTTTGGGGCTGCAGTATGAAAATGTTGGGGCTTTAATTTCATATCAAAGCAACAGAAAAATCAAATAAACAGCCAAATAAATATAAAATAAATAAATAAATAAATAAATAAATGAGGTTGGGAGCAGGTCTGAAGGTGGGTAATCAGACACCTGCATAAAGCCTCAGAGATGGACAAGTGCCTGTCCACTGCCACTGTAGGGGTAATCGGTCAGCCGTTTTCCAGAGAATAACAGCAGAGAGGCTGAACTCTGCCGGTATCAGAGAAGGATGATGCAATAAACAAAATGATAACTTTTTAAAATAAATATTTAGATCGATGTTCTATAAAGAAAGATCAAAGTTTGATGTCAGAGATATCACCCAATCGGCAGCGACGTGTATATAAACCCCTCTGTATGAAAATGGATGATGGATCCTAATAAATTCCTCTACAAATCTGCAGCGTGGTGTACGCAACAATTCACGACATTAGAAGGTATTTTTGTCATATTTTATTTTATATATATATATAGCTTTCAGTGACCTTGTGATATCAGAATATTGTAGTGTGTTCATAAGTGTTCTACATCTTTAATTCTGGGTGTTTTTTTTGTTTTCAGCATTTGTTTTCTGGGTTATTCTGATGAGGACTCTTATTGTGAAGGCAACGTTAGGTGCTTTGTTCTGTGTTTATGCCTGTACAACAGGAAGAATGAGTCAGTTGGGCTCAGGGCTCAGACGATTCAGACGATTTTCCCATTTGTAAATTGGCCGATAAAGTCATATTTCATATGACAGGATGCACAAGATCGTGAAATGTGACATATAGTGTGACCTTGCAGTCAATGTGAAAAATATATACCTGCTGCACTTTTAATGTGTATTAGATTTAGATCTGGATGTACAACCTTCTGATGAGGACCTGAATGCTGCATTAATCTAACATGTAAGGCCTTCAGTCCAGCTCCTGAAGTCCTGACCAATGGGAGAGCTCGCTCAGCTGTGTCTACCTAAATACCACAGAGAAACCCATCCTGATTGGACGAATTGCTTCTAGTTCCACTGAAGGACTGGGTGGGGGGCATCTGTATGTATGTGTGTGTGTGTGTGTGTGTGTTGTGAATCTACAGTGGACCTGGAGGTACCAGATTTTTGTAAACAAATAAAAAATTTCACAGCTGCCAGTTGCATTTTATCTCTCTCTCTCACACACACACACACACACACACACACACACACACACACACACACACACACACAGCTACAGCTGCCCGAACCTGAACTGAGCTACACACCTTTTCATAAAGCTATTTGAGAAAAAAAATGATTTTCTGATTTTAAGTTAGATAGTCTAGAGCTACTGTTAATATCGTTATGCATTCAATTTACATATTTCTATTACACACACACACATATTGAACAAATAATAGTGGTCGCCATGACTACAACACAAATATAGGCATTTTATTTACTATTCAGAACCACCAGTGAACCTACACGAGTCTTCTGAGTTTATATGGAATGTTGATGATGGAAAATAGTGGACAACCTGAAATAATACGTTTTCTTTGGGGACTATTTTGCCTCACAGCGCCCTGCATATTATGTATCCCTCCACCATGAATGGAGTTTAAGGCC